ACCTTACAAAAAGACTTTAATGTTCTACTGAACCGCAGCTATTTATTATATCGGTGAAAGTGAAATAACAGACAGCTTTATTTCTGTAGCTATTTATTTGTTAAATTATTTTTCAGTCACTTTTTAATTACACAGTTTTTAGGTTAATAAAATAACTGTGATAATAATCGAGATGGGACAATATGAAAAAATAAATTGTGATCATTTTTTTCGCATATCGCCCAGCCCTACTGCAGACTGAAGTCCAGGAAGGAGCTCTGCTGGGACTCAGCTCCAGGGAGGTGCTATGTACACTCAAGTGTTAGGAATGGCTACCAGAGGAGATTCAAGCATTTCTCAAACATGCGTTAAGTAGTCAAATCAACATCCAGGGTATGTATGTTTTTGATGAGGGAATGACATTATGCCATGACATCTTCTATGTTCTTTTTTTCACCTACCATCCAAAACTAAAGGAATTATGGATTTGGTCAACTGGTCTCTGAATGCAAGAAACACTTTTTTCCACACTYGGAACGAGGGGAACGTGGCTGTCTGGGTGGAACGGTTGCTGCTGGACTTGTCTGACTCCTGGGGCTGGAATCTAATATRCCAGCATCACTTTCCATTGAAGACGTGGAAGATTGGATTTCTGATAACTGGATTCCTGCTGATCGGCGGAGGAGGGTTCCAGATTTGTCGAAAAGTGATAGCGACCCTGACGGCAGTGTTTATCTCAATCTCCCCAGGATGGAATGTCAACTAAGAGCTGGATTTGCTCCCACCCCCATCAACCGTGTTGGACCCAGCCTTGGAACTCAATTGGCTGAGGAGGAGAAAACTCTGAACTCTAGCGAACTCAGCAGACATGATAACATCATGTGACTCTGGAGGGGGCAGGGTTGGGTCCTAGCACTGAMCCCCCTCTCTCAACATCACCTACTCCTCTTAACCTGCCCCATCTTACTTCCCCTTATGTGTTTTCGACCCCCAGCCCCCTCCCTTCCTTAGCTGCCTTGCACTGACGTGAGTGGTTTTTTGAGAGTATGATTCTGTGTTTCTGTGTAAACACAGGATCAGAGCTTCTTTTTTAACTCACCTTTCCTAGTGTGTGTTTTCTAAGCTGCAAAGGGTAGTGCACCATCGTGCGAAAGACCCTGGACATTCGTTCCCCCATGTTTTTTATTTGTGTGTTTCTCCGGACGGATGTTCTAAACTGCAATTTCATTCTGCATTGCATCTTTGATGTTGTGTGTGAATGACAATAAATAAATGATTCAGATATAAAGCTAAAAAATGCTTATTTTGCATAATGATTCCTGGCAACACAAACTGGCTGTAGGTAATTGTAATGTCACCTCACTAGTTAGAAAGAAGCCGGAGCTTGGGTGTGAGGTTGAGCAATATCAATTTGATATAGATGGGCTCACTCACACACAGCAGGGGCTCTGGCATCTATGTAAAATAGAATGAAAATAGCCTTTATTATCCCTCAGTGGTTAAATTCAGTTGCATCATCAGGAAAGTCACAGGCAATTCACACAAAGTAGAAATATGAAAAGCAAGACTTAAATAAAGAATGTGCACCATATGCATGACTTTTGACCAGGAATAAAAGAAAAAAAAMCACCACCAGACTTTTTAAAACAATGAAAATATTGTGCAAAAAACAGCAGGCATGTAGCAACGTCTTCAGTTTGTGAGCACTGATTGTTTCCATGTCTAAGAGTTGCTAGGAGAAAGGACTAGAATAATGTCTGTCACTGAAGGAACTCTCCAGCTTCACAAAAAGGTGGAAAAAATAGACATGACCTATTAATTAAACATTTGAAGAAATGCTCTAAACAGCAAACTAATTTTAAAAGAACATCATCAGGTTAACTACGTTTTTTTGGATTCACCTCATATTAATGTGGAAAGATTTTGGTTTGTTGACCTCAAAGCCTCCTGACCAGGTACAGTTGGGGACATCCATGAGGCGCACGCAGAGCAGCTGGTCATAATCATTGCGGGGCCAGTGAAACACAACGCTGGATCCTGATAAGGTGGAAATGTACCCCTCTGGGTTGGATGTACCCTAAAACACAAGGAGGTAAAAATAACAAAGTATATTTATCATCTAGATTAAGACTTMATACGCAGCCTCTTGGCCAGGTCATGTTTGTAAATGAGAAGTGGTTCTCAAACAGTTTACCTGGATAAATAAAGGTTAATATATATA